CTGGCCTTAAATTGTTTCCAAGTTTCAATTTATTTATAACGTTTTAAATTAATTTTTAGCTTGAAGAAGGGAGAGTAAAAAACTACTCTTCTGAAGTAAATATTTCACTAAAATTCCCGAGTTTTCTGACTAACATTCAAGTCTCTATTTCTGTTTATTAAAATCTTAATTAATTTATTTTCAAGATATGTTTTTAAACGTTTTTTACATACTAGCATTTATATATTTTAATGCAACTTTTGTGGTTCAAAATATATTTAAAGAAATAACACACAATTTTAGTTATATTATACAAATACACCAATTCTATACAGATAGTGACAACTAGGCTTCTTTCCCCTCTCTACGATCAATATATTTTTCTAGATTTATCATATCCAAATTATCCTTCCAACATTCATCTCTAATTTAGATAGACAGAGGGGGAGGTTGATTTCCCCCAGAACCCATGCTGTGCGCCAGGCTTTCCCGTGTGTTTGGTCAAATGTGTGTTTGACATTTTCGATATGTTCCGTGTGTGTGGGATGGTCCAGAGTGGAGGCTTTGGAAAATCCAGGAGGGAAATGCTGGTGGAAAACGTGGGCCATTTAATGCAACCAGCTGCTGATGCTGATGCTTTTGTTGCTGCCTCTTTTTGCGGCATGTCCTGGCTCCTGGTTCTGCATTTTGCATGAAGTTTCTCAAAATTGTGCGCATTTGTTGAGGTTGTTGTTATAATTTAGTTGGAAATTGCTGTCACACCCACACAATCACACACAGACACACACCCGAAATTAACCCACTGAGGACTCTGGGACTGAAGGACTCTAGGACTCCAGGACTCGGATTTAATCTATAGTAATTTGTTTGATTTCTAATATTGGCCTGTCTGTCACTCGATTTGCTGGCCACAAGAAAATTCAGAAAGTTGGCAAAACATTTACCACAACTTTGAATGATATTTCTCAAAGGATTTTTCTCAAAGAATTTTTTCTCTGAATGATGTAAAGTAAATTAATATTTCTCTAATAAATTCAATTTAAAATTTTTGCCTATTTTTAATTTCAAGCTAGAATATTTTCTGCAAAACATTTACCACAACTTTGAATGATATTTCTTAAAGGATTTTTCTCAAAGAATTTTTTCTCTGAAGGATGGATGTAAGGTAAATTAATATTTCTCTAATAAATTATATTTAAATGTTATGCTTATTTTTAATTTAAAAATTTGAATATTTTCTGCAAAACATTTACTACAACTTTGAATGATATTTCTTAAAGGATTTTTCTCAAAGAATTCTTTCTCTGAAGGATGTAAGGTAAATTAATATTTCTCTAAGTATTCTACTTAAATTTTATGCCTATTTTAATTTGAAAATTTGTATATTTTCTGCATACTTCTTAGGGTTAACTTTCATACGTTTTCAATTTAATTTTCATGCAAAAATAAAACATAAAAATTGAAACCAAACTCATTCGCTCACGCGCTTTCGCTTGGCTTCAGTCTCAGTTTGCAGTTTTAGCTTTTAGTTTTCCAGCACCCCCCCTGCTTTCCCCTCCCCACCCCCTTTTTTTTGGCTTCCCCATCTCTTTGTAGGCCAATTCCATGGCCATGGCCATGGCCAGTTTGCCAGTTTTGATAATATTTTTTAGGGGTGTGAAGGAAACCCCCAGGGATAAATCCAAGAGGGAGGGAGGGAGAGCGGTAGGGAAACGTTTGGGGAAAACGTTTGAAAATAGGTTTTTCTGGCCTGCTGCAAGTGTAATTTTAGCCAAAACGCGAATTGCGAATTGGATTGCGGCTTATAAGCACGTTTATAAATTACTGATTCGTCTATGGACTAGGTTAGTCCAGTGTGTCCAGGATACAGAGTCCCAGAGTCCCGGGGTCCTGTGTCCAGAGTATATATTCCCGTATTTGCCGGGGCTTATGTCAGCGAATGAATAAATTAAATATTCCATCTCCATCATTGAAAATGTGTGCCAGTGTTTATGTGTTGCTTTAATTAACTTTTTTTTTTGTTTGCGTTTGTTTGCGCCGCTTTTGGTTTTGGCAGATTTGTGAACGGCTACTAAAAATTGAATTTCCTCTTTTGTAATTAATTTGTATTAAAAACCAATTTAGAACGAGCAAGCGCCATGATAGTGTGGAAATCCGAGTGGAAATGTGGGAAAGCTTAGTCCGGCTTAGGCCCTGTCATTTGACCCTAATATAACAACTGACTTTGGCCCTTTTGGTTGATTGCATTAATTAAACACACCCCACTTTTTTTTTTTGATCATCCCTCCTCTCATAATATAATAACAAAATATAAAAAAGTGTGTTTATATTTATGTAAAAATAATGAAACAAAGTTTGAAACAAATACACCTGCTAATTGCAAAATAATTAAAAAGTTTTGTACCTGACAAAATAAGGGGATTATAAGAGTAACGAAATGTGAGGATTATGAAATCAAAAGATGAATATGTTATTAGTTAAATTTCAGGTGGAAAATTTAGTTTTAACTTGACGAATTTTTAGTGAGTTTTTTATTTGAAATGTTTAAAGAATGGCGTTGAAGTTAGAAATATTTTAAATACATTTTAAAATCATGTTTAAGCTGCTTTAAAATGTTACATTATAAATTTTAAAAACATGTTTTTAGCTGCTTTAAAATGGTTTTAAAGTTTATTGTATTTGATTTACCCTTAACTAATTTAATTTTATTTAAAACACAGAGCTTTACCTATCTCATTTCAATTCCCGTTTCGCTTTCGAATCGTATTTCGAAATTCCCCAACTAATTAAAAAACGCATTATTCAAAGTGCCGCGTAAAATAAAGAATACAATATATATATTTTTTAAATGAAAGGGAATACCCAAGAGACTCTGAGCTTTGCCTTTACATTATTTCTTTTTTTTTGTTCAGCTTTATGGCATATGGAGATACAGATACAGATACAAGATACATATAGACAAGATATGCGTCCAATAACCGATTAATAAATATGCGCAAATTTTATTTTAATGCCACGCCTCACGTGAGTTATGACCCGGTTAAGAGTCGAATGCTTTTTGGCCTTTTATGGCCTCAAAGCTGGTAACTGGAAGCCACCTAAATTGGCCACAAATCGTGTGCGAATATATATATATATAGATACTGTATCTGTTTCTGTTTCGTTTCGCTATGGATATGACTTTGAATTTGAATTTGAATTTGGATATTCGGGCCACATGCCGCGGGCAAACAGAAAATCAATTAATTTAAATTTTTATTGCCACACTTGCCACATTAATTCGTTGATTCGCCTCAATTTCTGGTCGAAATGTGTTAGCTGCTCATACGAATGATTTATGCTCGGTTTTCTGTGAGTCTGCAAAGATGCTCTTAATGGATTATTCATCCTCGTGTTGTGCTGTGTGTTATACCGGGAATGGTGTTAGGTCAGGGCATAGAATTTATATGGAGAATGTGTGTTGGCCTTTAAAGTGGTGTATACAGCATTGAAAATATGTATGTTCACCAAACTAAATTGTAAAAACAATTTTTATTAACCTGAAATCGTTAAAAAGAAAGTCAAAGAGATTCTTGAAAATGATGATAACAAAAAAAAAAAAAAAAAAAACACTTAAAATGCACAATTTACGCACTCTAAATATACTTTTTGAATCAAAGATCGGTCTGTATATATTTTCATTCACGTGTTTATTTTCTTGGCTAGATTTTTCGACTCATTTGGTTCGCTTTTGGCATTGTTAAGGCACTTTTGAATGGCAATTAAGTGGAGGATGAAAAACATTCACACATGTACAAGTGCGAGCACAAAACAACTCAATTTGCACTTCATCTCTCTGAGTGTGTGTGTGTGCTTTGGTAATTGCTAATTGATTTTGCCATATGCATTAGTTGATACATTTATAATTATGCTTTTCAATTGTCGGCCATTTGAAGTGCCTGAAATTCGATGAGGCATGAATCTTAATGCCGCACACATTTCTCTCATTAAGTGATTATGGCCGCAAACAGTAGCACAAGAGTTGAGTAAAATCATAGGGAAAATCAGACAACAAAACAAAAAACAGGGAAAGTCAAAGGCTGCAGAAAAAACCACTCTAAACTTTATTAATTTTAATTAAAAACACTCGACTCATTTTGAGGGTTAAGCGCTTTCCTGTCTGTGTGTGTTTCCTCCTGGTTTTTGCTTTTCCTTAAGCCGCAAAGCACTCCACTGACCAGCAGGCGATGGCAGTTAAAAACAAGGAAGCCATCATCCGGAAAACTTACTCCTTTTTAACAAAAGCCGAGTCCTTGTGAAATGTCAAATGCCCTTGAGAAGAGTTCTTTTTCGCAGGAGACTCAAATCTAACTTAAAGTTTAGGGAATTTGTCTCGAAATTATATTGTTATTTAATTTATTTGTCCCATAAGTTATATAAAAATATCTCTTTAAATACTCTTAAAAATCCTTGAAATATTCTTATTCCCCAAATGGAGTTAGAGTATTTCAAGCTCCCCTCGCCTGGATATCATTAAAAAATCTGTGCTAAACTTCTGCCCCCAAAAAGGCGTAAGACGTTTTAGGTATTTGGGCAGGACCACCAAGGAGTTATCCTTTGGGATTCCCCCATCCCGACCATTGTGACTTCCCCTCTTTTGTTTATTGTTCTTTTTTTTTTTGTTTTGTTTTGACGGCGCACGCGGCAGTTGGTCGCTTAAGGCCATAAAAAGCAAAGGTGCGATGGCGATAAACAATGAGTGAGAGAGGCCCAAACCTCCATGGGCCAAAGTCCTGCCAAAGTGTGCAGCTTAAAAAGGGGAGTTATCTTTATTTGTATATATAAATATAAATGGTGAAATAAAACGAGAGACAGAAACTTTAAAACTGGCTTGTCTTTCAGTTATTAATTATTATTTAAATTGTATTCAATAAAGCAAAACTTAATAAAGTCTTCAAATAATTAAAGCCACTGATAGAATGACAAAGAAAACATTTTTGAAATTATAAATAAGGTAAGTTTTTGTCATAATTTATTTATTTTTATTATCCCTTTTTTCGTTTTTGTTCGTCTAATTGACATATTTTAAGCTCATAGTTTGCAGTCGTAAAAGAAATTAAATCCAAGCACACGCACTCCCAACCCAGGCACACTTAATCAAGCAAATCCTTAATATTCTTAAACTATTTTTTACAAACATATATATTATATATCAAGAGTAATATAATACCCGCCCGTTTAATTGACAGCTTGAATGGGCTCAGCACTCGATGTCCTGGCCAAATTATTCAACGGTCCCAGAAGACTGAGTAAAACCGGCAAAAGGATCAAACCATGGGCTGCTCCAATCAGGACAATGCCCAAATACATTCGGAAATAAAAGACCTGGAAGATTTGTGAGTTGGAGAAACCCAGGACTACAATACCCGCAAATTTGGTAAGTGTTATGCCCGACAGGACACTACTTCCGGTGACATTCAACGAGTGACGTGCCCGCTCCTGTGCCGTTCCCTCGGCCCTCTTAAAAGATCTCACAATGTGAGCCACAAATTCCACACCAATGCCCACACACACCACCAGATTCACCAACGAAATGGCATTCAAATTAATACTCCAGGCCCACATCATGCCACCCATATTGATCAGAATGCAAATCACCATGAAAAGGACAATCAAAGTGGATGTGATATCCAAACCAGTGATGACCAGGGTCACCAGGAAAATGGCCAGCAAGGACATGCCCAGCGAGAAGAGTGCATCCTCCCAAATGGTCAAATACTGTTCATAGTAAATGTAGAAAACGCAATAGGCAAAGATTTCAGCATCGACACCATTCTCAGCAAACATGGAATTAATTTCCCCAGCAATTCTACGCACTTCACGCAACTGAGAATAGAATTCTTCAGAGGTTGTGGAAGTGGTCGAATATTGCATAAAGTAAGTGTCCTGGACAGTGGACATGCCCTCATCATCTATGGTGTAGATCACGGCCTGTTATAAGTAAGGAAAACGAGTTATTAATACATTTAGGGATTTAGGAATTTGTTTTTAAGAGAAACTCACATCAGCATAAGAGGCTCTGCCTGCCTTGGCACACTCAGCATCTGGCAAATCAAACAGAAAGAAGGGAATATATTTGTTAAAGGTCTCGACATCGGGTCTCAGGCCATTTTCAGTGAAACCCCTTTCACAGGGCAGGCAATCATCGCTCTTGGAGTCTGGAAAATACAAAATAATATAGCTTAAAATATATTTTTTAGAATATATATTAAGAAATACTCACTGCTGGCGCAAAAGCCATTGGTGGTTACATTGTACTTGCAACAATCGGTAATGGCCAGCCAATCAATATAATCATCCAACCAGGATGAAGCTGGTCTGGCCAAAGCTGTGATCTCTGGATACCGGGATTGTGTATACAATTGCACGGACAATGAATTATTATTACACTCCACACCGCCACAGATGAGATTCTGTTCCAAGGGCAAAGAGTAATTCAAGCCGGGTTTAAGGACCCAATAGACAGGAGCACCCATTGCCAGGAGATCAACCATATAGCGGAAATATTTCACCACATGCGAATTCTTTGGCATGGACATCTCCTGATCGAGACCCTTTTCAATCGAGGGAACCACCATCAGGGATAGGCAGGTGACCACAGTGAAGATTAACAAGACGCAGACTTTGACGGGTCTAAAAGGATTATGTTTTGATAAATGTTTAGTTTTATGTTTTATACTCACTTGGATAGCAGGAAAGGTGAGTAAAAGTTCTTGAACATGGACTCCAGCATGCCCGCTTCCTTGGTGTGATCTACTCCAGCTCTAGCTTCAGAATCCAATGTATCCTCCTCCACTGAAGTACTTTTCTTGCCACTCCTTATACAGCACAACATGTCCAGTCTATTATCCTGATAGCGACGCTCATCGATGGCCATCAGGGCCACAAAGGCAGTGATTTGCAGGAGGAAATCCAACAGGATAGCAATTGCTGCATACATTGCAAAAGTCTTCACTGCCGGCATATCGGAAATGCAACCAATGGCAAAACAGGCCATCTCACTGCCCGCCGTCTGAAGGATCGAGGGTCCTACCTGGCCAATGGCCTCACCAATTGCCTCATGAGTGCTCGCAAACTTTGAGTGATCCAATCGCTGATATGTGTGCACCATAATGAATATATTATCCACACCCACGGCCAGCACCAGGAACGGAATCACCTCAATGGCCAGCATTGTTGTGGTCACATCCAGGTAACCCCAGAAGCCCAGACTGCAGGTCACCGAGGCCAGGACAATGACAATGCCACCGATTGCCAACATGATCCTTGATTCGCGCAGGAATCCCGTGCAGCTGCGAATGTGTCCCAATGCAATGGCCACGTACACAAACATCACCACATAGCTGATGACAACGGTGCCCACTTCACCCTCGGATAGTTCCACAATGGCATCCTGAATAGATCTCTCTGCCATGTAGGCAATATCCAATCGATCACTCTTGTAATCCCGTAGGAAGTCCACAAAGAGCTTTTCCCACTTCTCGTTCGGTTCCAACTTGGTCTCGTCCACTTGGTTACGACCCAGGAAAGTGATCACCAATCCGGTGGCCAGCATATAGTCAGGATCCTCACCCACCGGCACCTTGGGCATTCCACCCACAGCAATGCCAGGCTCAATGGGTCCACCGTAGGTGCCAAAGCAATCCTCCATCATGGGAACTCTGTAAAATTAAAAGAATTATTAAAGTTAATCTATATTTATTTAATCGTTAATTGATTTTTAATTAATTCCTAACCTTTTTATTCAATTGTTAACCGTAAACCTTGTTTAGAATATGCATTTTAAGTTGAAGTTTCAATATCTTTGATTTCTCATAAATATTACTTCATTTGTTTGCATATTTCTCGATAACAAAATTGATCAAAATCGATAAAAATAACTTTCTTAATAACACTCTCTTATATATTATTAATTCGATTAAATTTTTTGATTTAAGCTTCAATGTATTTATAAAAATATAGATATATCAAGCCAACATTACAACTATTGCTTCAAATATCGTTAAAGTATCAATAAATCAATATTTATTTTGCCATGCCTTATAAAGTAGGTGAGTTTTTGAAATCACTTCATTTCCTAGATAAAAAAATCGTCAAAAACGATATTACTACATTTTAATAATACTACTTTATAGATTTACATTAATTTAAGATTAAGCTTCAATGTATTTAATAGAATATCGATTTATCGAGCATACATAACAGCTTTAAAATATCTTTTGCTTCAAATATCGTTACAGTATCGATAAATCGACATTTTTTCTGTCATTCCTAAAGTTAATTTTTTCGATAACAAAATCCTTAAAAAGCTACAAAACAAAATTTTAAGTAACAATTTAACATTAATTTAAGCTTCACCTTCAATGTATTTAATGCAATATCGATTTAACGAGCATATATCACAATTTAAAATAACCTTTGGTATTGATACAGTATTGATAATTACATATTTGATAATTACATACTTGAAAATCATTTCAATTCCCCTCAACTTACCTCAGACAATCCTCCAGCTGATTGAGATAATTAATCGTAAAGTTGTTGCTATCCACATAAGAGCTCTCAAATTTATCCATATCATGTTGGAAGTATCCATAAATCGATTGGATAACACAGTGATCAACGGTGGGAGTTTCACCAGGCTTCAGAACAGGAGCATAACAGATCTTGTCCAGACCTTCACCTTCAGCCAAACCCAGTTTCATGATGGCATCCTGCAGCTCAAAGACTTCCTTCAGGAAGTTGTACTCAAAAGCAGGACCAAAGTTTAGCAAACCACTGGGAGCCTCATGGGTAAACTACAAAAGTTACAGATTTAAGAAAATGTTATTTTTTAAAAAAAAAAAAAACTCCCTTTAACACTAACTAAAAACCAAATGCGATTTGACGTTATCTTTGCCGGTGATTGGCAGTGAAACCTCACTCACAAATCCCAGAATTGTTGAATAAATTCGATAACGATTAGCAAGAAGTAGTGATAACAATATCAAATGAAATATTGGTGTTTGAATTTCAAAATTGTTCATTTAAGAGATAAGTTATGTTTATGATTGTTTTCACAAATGTTTCTTAAATTTTGTCTTGTCATTATAACTCTGGTGAAATTTAAATAAGAGATTGTTTAAGGTAATTAATCGTTGGAGTTAAATGAGTGAAAAACTCAAGATTAAAGCTCAAGAATTATTATTATTATTATAATATATAGAGATTACTTACATGTGTCTGATTGATGGCCTTGATGAACATCTGATTGGTGCGATAGAAGGGTCCAAAATGCTGATCAAAGTAATCCTTCTCGATCCTTGTCTGACTCTCGCTGCCGGCCCAAAGCTCTACGGGATCCGTGGTAATAGTCATATATCGAATGCCATACGACAGTCCACCGATGGCCCAGGAACACAGGGCCAGAACCAAAACTGGATGTTTAGCACAGAATGTGCCCCAAACACGGAAGCCATGGTAGAAGAACTCCCCAAACAGAGTTGGCATACAAACTCTGGGCATGCAAACTCGGCTTCTGCTCACCGCTCCCCAGCAAATGAGACCCGAGAAAAGGACAACGATCAACAGGCCCAGGATAAAGGTCACTCCATAGAGACCAGCAATCTTCCAGAGCTCCTCGGGACCCGTAGGGGGATCCGTGAGTGGACAGGATGCTTCACAATCGATGCAGGCACAGGCATAACTGCCCTCATAGCTCTCTCCACACTTCAGGATATTCAGATCCAAATAAATCTCCTCACTCCCTTCCTCGGCATCATCCGACCATATGTAATTGATTTGGAAGGGTACATAGTCACCGGTGACATCACCCATGAACTCATACCAACGCCGGTAGTTGCAAGTTTTTGCATTGAAGGCACCACAACCCAAATCCATTGCAGGTCTTCCCGTTTGCGTATGCTGAATTCCATTACAACTTTCATAGACCTTGGCTACGGTGGCATCTGTGATCCTATAATCAATATATTCGATATATTCCCTTCCCGTGGGAGTATAGGTGGCATTGTGGCCGGTAAGAAAGAGTGTGTGATTCTTGGCACAGGTCATGGCACAAACCGTTTGAGCCATATTCCTTGTACATGTGGGACAGCGTGAGAAGACACCATCCGCCTGGGATAGACCACTATCCATGGTCTCAATTTGGTCTGCATCACAGCAAAGGATTAGCTCCTCCTCACCGGATTCTCCCTTATACTCCTTGTACAGCAAAGGACAGCGACGGGCAAAGATTGCCTCTGCCGAAGGACTATTAAGAGGACGCGCTGGTCTTGTATCCGCCAGATTTTGCCAATGGGCACCGATCTGATGACTCTGTCCATACCAGATGCAACCCAACTCCACGTCCTCTGGCTCAACTTCGCTTTGGGCCAGGACCCCTATCGATAGCAACGATAGGGCCAGGGCCAGGGTAAGCGAAAAATCACTTTCATTGTCACAACAACAAAAAAAATATAAATATTCTTGGGATTAAGGAACTTTCGAAGAGTGGATACAATTCGCGCCGGCAGCGAACCGAACGAGACTGAAACTAAAGCCAACGAACATCCCAACATCAACATATTAACCGGTGGACAGGCTATATCGGAAGGTGCTCGAGATTAGATTTCCCTCACCATTTCGGGGTTTTCTTTTTTTTTTTTATATATATATTTTCCGTCACTCGAAAGTTTGATAAGCTTCTGAATTCGTTTTGCGATTGGATTTCATTGGAGCAGGCTTAATGGTGGTGCTTATCTTCGGGGGGATTAACGTGGGCGCTCCATAGCGACAGGTGATTGGAAAACGATTAGATATTAAAGGTCAATGCGGTGCTTAAATAGTTGCCAACAATGTTTGTATCAATAAGATAAGAGCTTCTTAGAAGGCGGGAATATATTCTGGATTTCTCAGTTCAAATCTCAGTTCGTTTCTTTGACTATTTCGTTTATAAAAATGTAATAAGTTTGCTTAAGATCATGGAAAGTCTTTTGAAAAAGGTGGTTTTATAAAAGAAATTTTATAAAGTACTTTCGTATATCTTTTACTTATTAGGTTTTCCTATAGAAACAAAGTTTTGACAACTTTTTCGGTGAGCAAAGGTTTAGCTGTGGTTCTTTCTATTTTATAGATTTGAAACAAATTTATAATGGTTGTTCTATTTCTACTTCTAGTTCACCCATACTTTTGTTAATATTTTAATCAAAACTATTTCATTCACGAAAGTATACACCATCATCTAATCAATAATATAAGCAGAGATAAAGTTCTTTGGTAAAATTATTACAATTATGTTTAAATTTTGACTCTACAAATAAAAAATTCCAAGTCAATGAAATGACATATAATAATGATGATATAACAGATTTTTAAGAAGATTTTCAGAGCAAATTCGATTAACAAATTACTTAATTACCTCCATAGATGATATGTAAAATATGTATAGAGGTTTAGATATAGTTCTTTAAATTGTATAGACTTTAAACTTATTAATAATGCTTATAGTTCAAGTTTAATCATACTATTAATTATTTTTTAATTAAAACTATTTCATTCAGGGATGTATACACTATTTGCTTATCAATAACATAAGCATAGATAAAGTTTTTGGAACAATAAAAATGATGTTTAAATTTTGAATGTAAATAAAGGTCTCAAGTCTTTAGATATTTTCTTTTAATATAAGAAACAAAGATATTTTAATGAGATTTATGGCACTCTGATCAACCAAAATTAATTTACAAATTACTCAAAAACATTCCCATAAATGATATAGAAAATATATTTAAGGTTTAGATATAATCCTTTAAATTATAGAGACTTGAAAACAATTTTTAATGCTCAAGTTCTAGTTTTATTGATTATATGTCAATCAAAACTATTTCATTCAGGGATGAATACACTATTCTCTTATCAATAATATAAGCAGAGATAAAGTTCTGGGAAAAATAACAATTATGTTTAAATGTTCACTGTAAATATAAATCCCCTACCATAAATACACTCTCTTAAACCCACTTTTAAAGACATTTTCCGATCAAATTTGACTAACAAATTACTTCAAAAAGTTCCCCTGTTTAGAATTCCAAGAACTTGAGTCCCATTTCGCCGGAAACCCAAATCCAAAAAAAATCCACAACATAAACTCGATAGTTCTGAAATTTCTCAATGAATCACTCGACTCATCCGGCGACGACGACGGCGGAGGAGAGTGGCAAGAAGATAGCACACCGGCAATAAGATTAAGACGTTGCCGAGCTATATAATTTTACGGCTGGCGAGGGTCTCGAGAGGTCGGCTTATCAATCGATCCGCTTGGACAAGGTGTGGAACAGGTGTTCAATAGCCGCGACCAGAAAATAGCTTGCTACGATCGCGATTTTATGGCAGCACAGCTGAGCCAGCTGCTACAACCCAAAGATAAGACTGACTGCCACAAGCTCAGGTGTGTCAACAGGTGTGTGTTAACACCTTTGCCTTCTCCCAAAAATTCCCACAGATAATAATGGTTTGAGAGAATAGCCTACTGTAAGGATTATTGTGCACATTTTTCAAATTTAACAAAACAAAACATATATTTATATTTCAAGTTGTTTCAAAAAAGTAATGTGGTAAAGCAATCCATGAGATTATTGTATTATAAACCTTGCTCTACAATCGAAAAGTTCAAAGTAAATTTTCCGCAGTTTGTGAAACAGTTATTATTATTAATATTTTTTTTTTCGTTTGTTAAATTTTGTTGTTTTCTAAAAATGGCTAAAAAGTTCTGCTTTTCGGATTACAATACAACCAATTCGGCTGAGCCGAAGACAGAATCGGGTGAAAACTATTCCAGGAATAGAAGGAATCAAGAGAGGAATATAGAATATAGTGCAGCTGATGCTGCCTTCGAAGCTAAATTGGAAAAGTTGGCTTCAGGCAAGTGTTCAACTATAAGATTTTCCAGCGCCCTTTTCTTAATTTTCCAAACAGCTAAAAAAGATAATGACAATCAGTGTGAAATCACCGATTCTTCTGAATTTGAATCAATTCAAGGTATTGGGTTTATTGAATACTATCGGCGTCACTTTGAGCGCCATTGTGAGCGTGCCATAAGGAAATATTCCTTGGATTGTGAGGAATCGGATGAGGATCTTCCTCCAGTAGATCCACCGGCTTCGAAAACACGTCCTTCAAGCTCCAACAAAGAGGAATGCAAGCCCAGTCTTCCTGAGAAAAAACTATTTCCTTTAATGACGGATAAAGTGAGTAATTCTAATTCAGTTTGAAAGATTTTCATGGATCAGAAAATAATCTAGTTTCATTCTTCAAACTCCCAGAAATATAAACCAATTCCTAAGGAAGAACTCTTTTCCTTGATGAGGGATAAAGTGAGTAATTCCTATTTAATGATCTTGATAAAACATCTATCTTCTTTCAAACTTCCAGAAATATCAGCCAAGTCCTGCTGAGGAGAAACACTTTCCATTGGCGTCGGATAAAGTAAGTATTTCTTATTCAAGTTGAATGTTTTTTGTAGAAGATCAACAACTTTATTTCTTCCAAGTCCCAGAAATATCAGCCAAGTCCTGCTAAGGAAACACACTTTCCTTTGGGGTCCGATAAAGTGAGAATTTTTTATTGAATTTTGATCATCTATAGATAAAAAATATATCCTTTCCTCCTTTAAACTCCAAGAAATATAGACCATGTCCTGATGAGGAAACACATTTTCCTTTGGGGCGGTATAAAGTAAGTAACTCTTACCCAATTTGGATATTTCAAGGGTTAAAAAAATTCTATTTTCCTCCTTTGTAGTCCCAAGAATATAGAGAAAGTCCCTCTGAAGAAACACATTTTCCTTTGGGCTCGGATAAAGTGAGTAGCTCTTATTTCATTTGACTGCCCTTGATCTATCTATTTTCTTCCTTTAAACTCCCAGAAGTATAGACCATGTCCTTCTGAGGAAGCACACTATCCTTTGGCGTCGGATAAAGTGAGTATTTTTTATTCAAGTTGAATGTTTTTTTATAGAAGATCAACAACTTTATTTCTTCCAAGTACCAGAAATATCAGCAAAGTCCGTCTGGGGAAACACATTTTCCTTTGGGATCAGATAAAGTAAGTAACTTTTATTAAATTTTGATCTTCTATAGATAAAAAATATCTACTTTCCTCCTTTGAACTCCCAGAAATATAGTTCATGCCCTGATGAGGAAACACATTTTCCTTTGGGGCGGTATAAAGTAAGTAATTCTTACTCAATTTGAATCTTACAAGGATCAACAAATTCTATTTTCTTTCTTTGTAGTCCCAGAAATATAGAGAAAGTCCCTCTGAAGAAACACATTTTCCTTTGGGTTCGGATAAAGTAAGTAACTCTTATTTAATTTGAATATCCTTGATCTATCTATTTTCTTCCTTTAAACTCCCAGAAGTATAGACCATGTCCTTCTGAGGAAGCACACTATCCTTTGACGTCGGATAAAGTGAGTATTTCTTATTTAATTTGGAAGTTCTTGATAAAAACACAATGCTAAATCAATTTTCTTTCTTTTCAGTCCCAGAAATATAGAGGAAGTCCATCTGAGGAAACAGACTTTCCTTTGGGGTCCGATAAAGTGAGTATCTTTCATTCAATTTTGATCTTCTATAGATACAAAATATATCCTTTCTTCCTTTCAACTCCTAGAAATATAGACCATGTCATGATGAGGAAACATATTTTCCTTTGGGGCGGTATAAAGTAAGTAACTCTTACTCAATTTGGATCTTTCAAGGATCAAAAAATTCTTTTTCCTCCTTTGTAGTCCCAGGAATATAGAGAAAGACCCTCTGCAGAAACACATTTTCCTTTGGGGTCGGATAAAGTGAGTAACTCTTATTTCATTTGACTGCCCTTGATCTATCTATTGTCTTCCTTTAAACACTCAGAAGTATAGACCATGTCCTTGTGAGGAAGCACACTTTCCTTTGGCGTCGGATAAAGTGAGTATCTCTTATTCATTTTGGATTTTCTATAGATCAAAACAATCTACTTTCTTCCTTTAAACTCCTAGAAATATAGAGCAAGTCCTTCAGAGGAAACCCAAGGTTACAACGGGGATAAAGTGAGTTATTCTTATTCAATTTAAATGTTCTTGATAGAAAAATAAAACAAAATCTACTTCCTTTCTTCTTAGTACCAGAAATATAGACGAAGTCCTTCAGAGGAAACACGAGCTTACAACGAGGATAAAGTGAGTAATTCTTATTAAATATTGATGTCAAAAAATCTATTTTCTTTTTTTTCTCAGTCCCTGAAATATAGATCAAGTCCCTTCGAGGAAGCACACTATTCTTTGGGGTCGGATAAGGTGAGTTACTCCTATTTATTTCCTTGATAAAAACAACATCTTCTTTCATTCTTTAAACTCTCAGAAATATCATCGAAGTCCTTCTGAGGAAACACACTTTCCTTTGGGTTCAGATAAAGTGAGTATCTCTTATTCAATTTGGATTTTCTATAGATCAAAACAATCTACTTTCTTCCTTTAAACTCCTAGAAATATAGAGCTAGTCCTTCTGAGGAATCCCAGGGTTACAGAGAGGATAAAGTGAGTAATTCTTATACAATTTAAATTTTTTTTTATAGAAGAACAAAACAAAATCTACATCCTTTCTTCTTAATCCCAGAAATATATACGAAGTCCATCCGAGGAAACACGAGCTTACACCGAGAATAAAGTGAGTAATTCTTATTATATTTTTAAGTTCTTAATAAAAAACAAAGCTAATAAATTTTCTTTCTTTCCAGTCCCAGAAATATAGATCAAGTCCCTTCGAGGAAGCACACTATTCTTTGGGGTCAGATAAGGTGAGTAACTCCTATTTAGTTCCTTGATAAAAACAACATCTTCTTTCATTCTTTAAACTCCCAGAAATATCAGCGAAGTCCTTCTGAGGAAACACACTTTCCTTTGGGGTCGGATAAAGTGAGTATCTCTTCAATTTGGATTTTCTATAGATCAAAACTATTTACTTTCTTCCTTTAAACTCCTAGAAATATAGAGCAAGTCCTTCTGAGGAATCCCAGGGCTACAACGAGGATAAAGTGAGTTATTCTTACTCAAGTTAAATGTTATTGATAGAAATACAACAAAATCTACTTTCTTTCTTTTTAGTTCCAGAAATATAGACGAAGTCCTTCCGAGGAAACACGAGCTTACAACGAGGATAAAGTGAGTATTTCTTATTAAATTTCAATGTTCTTTATAGAAAATTAATAAAATATATACTTTCTTTTTCCAAGTCCCAGAAATATAAAGCAAGTCCTTCCGACGAATCCGACTATCCTTTGGCGTCGGATAGAGTGAGTAACTCTTATTTAATGTCCTTGACAAAAAAAAAAACATCTACTTTTTTCTTTAAACTCCTAGAAATATGGACCAATTCGTTCCGATGAAACACGAGGTTACAACGAGGATAAAGTGAGCAATTCCTATTTAATTTAAATGTTCTTGATAAAAGAACAAAACCAAATCTACTTTCAGCCATCAAGATCTAGCTCTTGTCCCACTGAACCCCCAAACTTAAGTATGCCGGGCTGTTTTCTCTTTAAACGAGAGCTATTTGAGATAAATTATTCCTTCATTAGGTCCTCAGGAGCACAGACAATGCCGTTGGGAGATGGAAAGGGATCAAAAATATAGCAGGCAGGACAAGTCACTTCCAAGGGGAAACTCACCTCGCGGACCCTCCACAAAATTGCCAAATCAAATGCCATTCAAGAACCCTTATTATCATCCACGAAAGTCAACCCACTCGAAAAGCTCCAAAAGTTGCATAGATCTGTTTTTAGATTTAGAATCCGAAAAGTCCATAGGTCCCTCAGATACAGACTCTTTAGGTCTAACCTTTAGTTGCACTTCCTTTGAAGGTCATACTGATCGCTGCAGTAGGAAGACCTACGATTTGAATATCGAAATGCCAAGGATACGAGGCGGAGCTATACCAAATTATCCGACTTGCACTTGCAGGCGAAAACCATCTGCGGAACCTCGCTTGAAAGTTTCCCATTCAAGCAGGATTAATTTCAGGCCAAACGGTGGAAATGCACCCCGAGAAGTTGAACCCAAACGTTCTTCTTTCAAATGGAAGATCTTCTATAAGGAACCACAGATCGGCAAGGATCCTCTTCTGGAGACCCTTTTATCGCCCAGAAGTTTGAATTATTCAAAAAGCAATCGCTGCCAGAATCGGGATCAGAAAGAAGCCGAAAATGTGAGGGAAAACCATGAGCAAAGGCATCAACCGGAAGTAGATCTTTCCCTGCTAGATCTACCCGAGGTTCTCAGCACCTCATCGGAAGAGAAGGCTGATCATCGATGCTCCTTGCCAGTGCCTTCACTGGGCTCTAGTCACACCTTTACGGACATTTGGCGCAAAAAGGATATACAGTTGGGTCGCTGTGAGACTCCAACTGGTGGTCTCTACAGTAGAGTTCATAAGCTTCAGTTTAAGCCAATAGATCGATTGGACTGCGGCTTCTCGCTTAAGCCACTGTTCAATGGATCCCGGTCGGAGACCCAGAGAAGGATTCGATACTTTGCCTCCCAATTCGACAGGCTTAGTTCTAGAGAACGAATGCAGGACACTGAGCTGAGGTTCCAACAGCTTCGCACGCTGCAAGCCGAATCGGATGAAGAGTTTTTCAAGCATTTTCGAGAGCATCCACCAGCTGATTGGCCATTGCCAACTTGGGAGACCAAGTATATGTGCCCAATTGGCGGTAGATCCTGTCCACCAATAACAAACGAGACTATCCTGAGCCACAAGCTAATGTGCCACCTCGATGAGCGGGGCCTGGAGGTTCGCGAAGTTTTCACAAACGATCGTCTGTTATTGATCTTTAATCCGCGAACCTACAGTATTGGCCGGAACACATGCATGTCAGTGATAGTCTATGCTGGTGTCTACGGAGATCCATCCATGTTGCCGGGTAATCGTTTTATGCCCACACGGAATAGGAAATTGCCAATCGAATTTGCCCGTTACCCCAAGCATTTGCCCATGTTTGTGATGGTGTGTCGGAACCAAAGCACCGAAGGTGGGCGGCGTGATGATATCCTTACCGTGTGGGTGGTAAGCGTTGATCTCCCGCAGCCGGTGCATGTCTTGTTGACCGTTGTGAATCGGCGCATGGATGCCACCAGGAGTTGTATCCTGCAGGTGCGTCCATTGCACAGGACCCAAGACTGCCAGAAGCTCATTGAATCTGGTACTCAGTTCATGCAGCTGGGAGAACAGGATCTGCGTGTCCTTACCAGCAATGACACTGAGCCGCTCTATATGGAGATCAACGTGAGGGAATATGCGGGAACACTTCAACGAACTATCCGTAGACACTAAGGTAACTTATGGTATAAACTATTTAAGCAATCTCTTTAAATCATACGTTTTTTATGCTCTATTTCAGGCAAGCGGATTTAAAGATCAATTTCAGACAAATCGTTTTGGAATTGGTATGTCATAATTTATGAATATATGTATGCTTCTTTGTTTCAAATATAATTATATTCTTCCTGAGCTGCAGGATTTTTCTTTATAGAAGTAACCAATAAGACGTGATATGGAGTGAAGGGGTCTTTAGAAATTAAGGTAACTTAAATTATATACTATTTACAAAATCTTCTAAAACCATAAGTGTGAAATACTATTTTCAACTAATCCGATTTCAAGAACTGTTTTAGCCAAATTTGTTTTCAAAACTGTATTACGTTAGGAATAGCTTTGAACTTTGTACGATTAACAAATTTAGTGTGATATAGTAGAAGTAACAGGAATGACCATATAAATGCATTCCTAAATCAGTCAGTGGTAAGTTATTATACATAAATATATGCTTCTTTGTTCTAAATTGAATGTACTTCTTGATCAGTAGGATTTATCTATATAGAATCTACCAATTAGATGCGACAGGAGACCCTTTACCTGGGGATAAACTTGAGGTAGTACGCAGGGATACTCATCCGAACTACTCGCAAAAATTGAGGTAACTAAAATTGTAAACTATTTGAAAAATCTCTAAAAATTATAAGTGTGTAAACCTATTTTTCAGGCAAGCAGATTTCAAAAATAGTTTCAGCCGAATCGTTTTGAAAACATTATTACATTAGTAATAATGTCGAACTTTGTACGAAATTTTGTGTGAAATATGTTCATATCTAAATAAGCAAATGGTATGTAATAATTTATGAATATATGCTTTATTGTTCTATAATGAATTTACTTCTTGAACTGTAGAATTTTTGTATATAGAAGCTATCTATAAGAAGTAACAGGGAGCACTCCCTCCTAGAGATGACAGTGAACACAAGGTCACAATCACTCAAAATACTGGCAGAAATTTAGGTAACTTAAGTAGTATTTTTTAGGTAAGCGGTGTTTCAAAGAACTGTTTTATTCAAATTTACGTTTTTATAAGTAATTAATTTGGGCATAGCGTTGAACTTTAAGAAATGTTAAATGTAAACAGAATGACCATATGAATGCATTCCTAAATCAGTAAGTGGTAAGTATTAATATATGAATATATTCTTTTTTGTTCCATAAATAATGCTGTACTTCCTAATCAGTAGAAATGTTCTATATAGAAGAGATGACTTGGAGTACCTCTACCAGGAAATATTCTTAAAAGATTCCGCAGTCACATTCACCCGAGTTACCGGTGAAAATTAAGGAAACTTAACTATTTCGTAAATTTCGCAAAATTATAAGTTTGTAATGTCATTGTTAAAGCAAGCTGACCACAAGAACTGTTTAAGCCAAATCATTTTCAATAGTATATTATGTTATTATGAATAAATACGTTTTAAATACCGTCGAACTTTTTACGGTTAACAAAATTTGTGTAAAATGTTATATGTAACAGGAATGACTTTATAAATGCATGCCTGAAGCAGTATGTGGTATGTAAGACATTAAGGTATATGAATATATGCGTCTTCGTTCTATTAAGAATTCTGTACTCCTTGAACAGAAGCATATTTCTGTATAGAATCTACCAATATTTCTGTGTAAAAGCTATCAATTTTTCTATTACTTCTTAAGTGGCGTTCAGCTTACTCATGCTTATCATTTAGAAACACATTCTAACACCCATTTAAGGAGCCACTGGGTTAAGCCAAAATTCGTTTCCGAATCCATATCTTATCGGTACTACCAAACCCTCAGCTGTGTTAAACGTGGTTATTGTATTTTAACTGGAAATTTGAGTAAAAATCTTGAAGTATTCCTGATTAAACTATTTTTAGAAGTTGGTCGTTGTATTTATATTTACATATATTTAATTTATTTAAAGTATGTCATAATATAAGAAATAATTATGAATATATATTTTGGGTTAGGTTTTGCAGATCTTCGAATATAAACGATCACCTGGCAGGACCTTTTGCTTGAAGCTTCACTCGCCTGCATGAATTTTCGTGCTCCCGAAAGCTTCCTTTTGGCCAAATGTTACAGTTCTGTTAAGTTAACAGAGAGCAGGATGCATGCTCTCTCACTGTCTGTTGGCTACAGAATACAGAGAGTTTGCTTTCTCTCTCTCTCTCTCACTCACTGCAGCTGCTGCACGATGCTGGCTTTATTTATTTTTTTTTTATTTGCCAAAATGCTATTGAACTCGCACGCACACACACACACACACACACACAAACACACACACTGATACGCACACCAGCATCAGAGTATTGTTTGTATTTTATTTTGTTTATTTAAATAACTTTCTAATTGAAAAAATAAATACATTAAAATATGGCAAAATCGTAAATAAAAATAAATACAAAACTAGTGCTAGGCAAAAACGAAATTCGGCCAAGCCATCATTGGGCCACCCAGGGAATTAAACCACCCACCGGGAATCACCGGGGACACGTGTCCTGAAAATCCAGACCTACATCAACAAAGGACCCCCCCCCAAAAAAAAAAAGGCCGAAGCCCGAATCCTAGCCCAAATCCGAAGCCAAAGCCGAATCCTCATATGAATCCCGAAAACCCGTTAGCCGAAGTTAATGCGCATCTGCAAAGCTCTCCGATTTTGAACCCATTCCCGTTACCATTCCCGTTCCCGTTTTTGGTTTCCCTCTTCTACCGCTTCCTCTTCTTACTCCTCTTCTTTTTTCGCACAGGCTTGATTCCAGGCGCATTTCTGGAAAATTGTGTCAAGCTGACGACACAATTTTCAAATCGCATGCCCGAAGTTTTCACATTGCAGTTTTCCTGCTGCATGGCGAACATCGCTCAACCGGGAGCGAATCGAGAGCGGAAAATCGGGCCACCGGGAGAGCAAAAAGAGAGCCATAGAGTAGAAGAGACACAGAGAGAGAGAGAGAGAGAGAGTTGTGAAGCGCTTCTTTTGCCGGCATTGCACAAAATAATAACGGTACAGTAGCCCAACAGGAAGTGGTGCATTAACACGCGCCGCTTTTCACCTCGAAATTCGTGCTGAAGAAGCCGACAAACAAGAAATAAAAGCCACATGCAACTCGATGACCAAAACTAAATTGCAAAATGGAAAACTTCGCGTAACAGTAAACAACAAAAAAGAAATACATACATATATATTTGGAGCGAGTGTTTGTCAGTGTCAGTGTGTGAGGGAGATAGAGAGAAAGCGCAGCAATGTGTGTGTGTGTGTAAAATGCGGCATTCGATTGCATCACCTAAATAAAGCAGAAACAAAACAACAATAACAAAAGCTTGGCCTGTGACGTCAGTGTGTGTGTGTGTGTGAGTGTTTGTTTGTGTGCGTGTGTGGGAAACTCTCTTGATTGTGTATTTTGAACCAATTTTTCAGATCGCATTAATAGTGAAGTTTTATTGTGAAATTTATTGTGATTTTTTTAAGTGAAATTATTTTTTGTGTAATTTTTAGTGCATTCTTTTGTAAACATTTTTTGTGCCTATATTTTTAGTGACATTCCTAACTCAAACAACTGCAGATTTATAATAATATTAATAGAACCAGTTAATAAACAAGGTATTTCGTGTTGTTGTATATATTTTTATATTTAATAAACAAGGATTTTGTATTTAAATTAAGTAGAAATATAGAGATATTGTAAAGAACTTACCAGAAACAGAGGTATTTATTTGAATTCTTTATACATTTTGAGGGAAAGCTAAAATATAAATAAATATAAAAAACATACATTTAATTTTTAATTTAATTTAGAATACTTATTAAATAAATTCAATTCAAGATATTTTAGACTGACAGCTTTAAAATACTATTTTAAACGCGATTCTATTTAATTCGTAAATTATTTGTTAATAAAATAAAATATAAAAGACCCTGCTTTGGTTTTAAGTTTTCAAAAAATTATTAATTTAAATACTTAGATGCATTTCATGGAGATTTATAATATATTTTTAATTAACCCTTAATAAATAATTTTTTATATATTATATATTTATATATTACACATTTAAAATATTTTTCTAGTAATCTTAATTTATTTAAATAAAAATCCTCTTAAATATGCAATATTTTTGTTAACTAAAATGATTTAAACCAAAAAACCGGTTAGGCCAAAAACCTCAAAGAGAACAAGGGCCAGAGAGGGAGAGAGAGAGAGAAGGAGAAAGAGAACGCGCGACAGGGGGTGAGTGGGGGATGCTTGGGGTCGGGAAAACGTGAAAAGCACGTGCAGCAGGAGCTGTGAAAACTTTTCGGTGTGAATGCCTTCTGCACAGAAACAAAAACGTGTTTTTTTCGGCCAGCGTCGACAGCGACGCCTGCGTCAGCCGCTCTGCCGTCGCCATTCGACGACTGCGCTGCCATCTTTAACATGGCGCTGCATTTGGCCAGCGATCTGTTAGGCGGCCATTGCATTGAGGCAGCTTTTATGCTGTTAGCAGTTACCCGTTAACAGCTACTGTTAACTGGCCCCATTTGTATTGCATATCCTCAGGCGCAGGAAATTTTTCTATGTTTATTTGGCAGAGGAAGTGATTTTGCAAAGGAAAACAAACAAATAAAAGCATAAAACAATAGATTACTTGCAGTTTACATATTAAGCCTTTTAAATACTTATAACATTTGCCACATTATTGTGCTAAGAAGCATTAAAAAGTCTCAAAAACTGCCCATTTTATGAGAATAATATAAAACTAAATTTTAGTTTAAACTTTTCTAATTCTCTCAAGAATTAATTAATTAAGAAATAAACTTTCAGGGATTTGATGATTTTGAATTAAGTATAGCTGTATTTTTGAAATAAAAAAGACAAAATAAACAAATAACAAAAGCAAACTAATAACAAAGTAGTATTAAAAAAATTTTGACATTTCTGTGGTTTTCTTACAACAAATATACGATTATGGTTTAGGTTATTTTAAAATTTATAATATTTTAAAAATATTCAACAATAATAATAAGTCCTATTTATTATGTTTATTTTAATCATTACTATTTTACGTTACTATAATATAATATTTTATATGTTTGTTTCTTTGGAGAGCTAATTTTTTTTTAATTTTTTTTAACTAAGCTACATTTCGTAGTTCACTTTTTGCTTGGCCCTTTGTCCTGCCTTCTTCCTGCCACGCCACGCGCTGCCCTGCCTCCGGCCATCCCTTTCGCACTTGCGCTCCCTTAAAAGATTAGCGCTTCAATGTAGGCAATTTGTCAATTACTGATGCCTCGCAATGCAGCAGGCAGGAACATGCACGACAGCAGCAGCAACAACAACAGCCGCTGCAGCAGGAGCAGCAAGCCGGCATGGGGACTTTCTCTCTCTCTCTCTCCTTCGTTGCCGGGAACTCCACGTGAAAGCTTTCACTCGGCCTCTGCTGCTGCCTCTGCCGCTGCCCGCAGGAGAGTGAGCAGTGAGCAGACAAGCAGCAAAGCAGCGACGCCGGCAGTGCAGGGCACGAAGCAGCTTCGTGGCATCGCTCGTGTGGCACGCTCTCTAGCCCCATCTCGGTCGCACGCTTGCTGCATTGCTGTCTTTGCCGAAGACAACGCTGCGCCTTCGGCGGGAGCTTCGGTGCGCTGCCGACGCCGACGTCGGCGGTCGTCGTGTGCGTCGGCTTTTGGCTTTCTGAAATTTCGTATTTCGTATTTCGTTTTTCCCTGCAGCAAAAACAGTTTTCATTTGTTTTTCCGCGTGTTCGCACACGTTCACGGGTCTGCGTCTTCTCCGCTCAGATTCTCAGATTCTAACATCCCCAACACAGTCATTCGATTCTCCTTTCAGTTCTCAGTTCTCCACTCACACTCCCCGAAACTCTCTTCTTGCGGTTTTTCTTCTTCTACTTCGGCTTTTTTTTTCTTCATTTTTTTTTTGGCAACCGTTATTCCACCGCGTGTGTGTGACGATAGTGCTGTGGTGTGCGTGTGTGTGAGGGATTCGAAAACTGCAGTTCCGAGTTGGATGGAGTTTTTTGAGGTTATTTTCGAGTTGTTGGATTCCTTCTTAAGGAATTTTTAAAGATTTTAAAAGTGTTTTTGAAGTGACTTAACTGAGGAGTTTATTTTGGGTACTGTGAATAGGTTGAGGATTAAAATAAAGTGTGTGCTCATAAAACATAAGCCAGATTTTAAAAAACTAGCAAAAGTTACTTTTGACTTAATAATGCAGTTTTTCTTTATCAACTTCCGTTTAAATTTAAAACTTTGGGCAGTTTGGCTTAATAAACGTTGAAGTTAGAAAAATCTAACTAATTACATCCATCAAGAATATTCAGAAATGTATTCTGAAAATTTTGGAACACGTTCTGAAATTTCGTGCATTTTTTACAACTAAGAAATCAGATTATCTAAAAGTAAAAGTTTTACTTTGCAGTTAAAGTAATTGTTCTTATTGATATTAAAGTTCT